CCAAAAAACCCCAAATAAACAACAACAAAAAACACCGCCCCAAAATAACAAAAACAAACAAACAAATAAACAAACAAAACAAAAGAAACCAACAAAAAAAAAAACCCACTCAAAAATATCCAAAAACAAAGAAAGAAAAGCCAAAACAGAAAAATGAAAGCTATATTGAAGGGGGGAAAAAATGTATTTTTGAAAGCAAAATTTGAAAGTTCTTCAAAACTTTGTAAGCTAAGGAGGAATGTTTGAAATTTGTGGGTAGGAAGTTTCCTCTTGAATATTGAGCTAGGCTATGTCCCTAATTCCTCCTTCAATGTACAATTTCCTCAACTCCAAACAAAAAAAGGGTTTTTGAGCTTTCCCTAGCACTTCCAGTATAGTTTTGCATGACCTTCTTTGGATTCTCCGTTCTAAAACATAATTTACTTCTCATCATTTCCTTATGAACACATTTACTCAGTACTTTGCACTAACATAAAGCTCAGGTTAACAATTAACTGCCTAATTAATCCCTTCCAATTTCCCTGTAAAGTAGATTAAAATTATATCTTGTGCTTGCAGCAGCTACTTGAGATTTTTGGTTTTTCCAAAAAATTGTTTACAGTTCTCTAAGCCCATATACAGCCTCAAAATATTCTGGAAAAGATCTAGGGAACACACAAGACACTTTTGTTTCAGCATGGAAGTGGAATGTCCCCTCCAGGTCCTAACTTTAGGATAACAGAAAAAAAAAACCAAAAAATAAAAATCAAACAAACAAAAAAACCCCAGAAACAAACAAACAAACAAAAAAACAGGGTAGAGAGAGAGACAGAGCAAAAAATTTTGTACACCTTTAAATCAGTCACCGAAATTTTGGGAGAAAACCTCTGCAATGTTTTGCTTTCCATTATACATAATGCAAAGCAAATGCAACTGAACAAATCACTGCTTGGGCTCCAGCCACAGCTGGTGGTGGCCTCTGTCCCCAAGGGACCCCCAGCCTTGCCCTGGTTGAAAGGTGGCCACCACTTGTCCCCACACAAGGTGAAAAGATCCAAAGACACGACTCTGGTGGAGCTCAGGGTGTTTAACTTCCCACCTTGCACTTACTCATTTCCACAGACCTTTCTGCCTCTCAGGGAAACTCCCATTTTCCCCTCCCCTCCTGCAGCAAACACATCTCTCAGGACCCTGATGGATTTGGAGTTTACACCCTGAACAGCCCCGAGGTCTCACAGCCAAGCACCCGTCCCCAACCTCCGGGCTCCCCTCTCTGCAGCTCTTCCCTGCCTCACTCCTTGGATTTCCTCCATTTCTCCAATTCTTGCCCAAAAATTACATCAAGGCTTTGTTGCCTGAGCTGATGTTTCCCCTCCAAGCCGTGGTGGAGCCCAAAGTCCCCCCATCAGTGGTGGAGAATTGCAGCCCTGGGGGCGAGGGGCTGTGTCTGGAGAGCTGAACTGGGCACTGGTTTGTAGTGGGGACAACCCCGTGTGAGGTCCTGCAGCTTTGTCCCTGGCAAGCCCCTTCCCACCAGGAGACCTTTTACTGCTCTGGGAAGATCTGCTTGAGCTGACAAGAAGTCAGTGGGGCAGCTGGAGCAGGGAGAGAGGCCGAGGAGATTGGGAAGGGAGCAGAGGAGCAGAGCAGGAGGAGGCAACACCAGGACCTCTTCATGTCTTGGTGTAAGGACCTTCCTGCTGACATGAAAACTGCCAGGTCTTTTGTGGTAAATCATCTCAAAATTGTGCCTTTTTGCCCATTCCTCCCTATCCTGCAATTCCTGGATCCCACAGTCTCAGTCCTTCCCTGTTTTAGGCACATCACGACAGCCAGGACCCTGCCCTGCCCTCTTTTCCTCCTTCCAGATTTTCCTTGAGTCTCATCACTGAGTGTTGGCCCCTGGCACAACTCTGCCTATTTGGGGAGCTTGAGAAATTTCCTGCATCAAAACCTCATCCCGGTTTGGCTTCCCATCCTTTGTTTGACTTATCCTTCACCTTCCCCACATCCCCATCTCAGCTGTCCTCTTGAGCCTTTGCTCCCTCCTGCCTTCCTGGCCCTGTCCATCAGGTGCAGGGACACTTCTTTGTCCAAATACCATTTTTTACCCTCAATTTCTCCAGCCCACAAAGAAAACTGGCATCTCAAAATAGGTTTGGATTGGAGAAAGTGAATTTAATTATCCTTCAGGCAGATGGAAACACTCTGAGACAAGGGATCCTCTTATGTCTTTATGACCCAGGTCACTTCCATCTTTGAGCCCTTATTCCTGTTTTATTTTCACCTGCTCAGCCGAGTTTTTTAAGCTGGGTCTGGAGCACTAATTCCCCAATTATCCATTTAGTGATTAGCACACACGACCTCAGCCTTGTTCTGGTGACCCAGCTCCTTTTCAGGGCTCTTCCTCCTGCTCAGAGACCCCCTCTACCAGAGTAAAATCTGGTGAAGTCCCCCACGCTTGGCACTTCTAGACAAAATTACTCCCAGTGAAACCCTGAGACTTTCCAGATCCCAAATTTTGTGAAGTGTTCCCTCAACACCTCATGTTGAGTCTTTGATCACTTGGTTGTGTGCCCAAAACAGGACCTGACCTCAGGAAAACACAAAATCTTCAGCTTTTGGAACACGTAGAGCACTTTAGGTGACCAGCACACAAAATAACGTGGTCAGTCTCATAAAGGAGGATTTGAAATCATCTTTCCAAGACAGGTGATTCCCAGCAATTAGGCAGGAGAGCTTCTGCAAATAGGGTGAATTTGGCAAATAGGGTGAATTTGGCAAATAGGGCAAACTAGGGTGAATTTGGTTTATCCTTGGAGGAACTTGGAGGGGAAATTCTCTCTATTCTGAAATAATTACAGTAATTCAGAAAGCTTCTCTTTTCTATCATTCTGAGGGCACAAGGCAATCCTGACAGGCTGGGACAGCAGATTTCCAGGGAAACTCTATCCCAAGGCATCATCACCCAATCCTGGTGTGCTGAACAATGGGAATTGTGAGGGCTGGGGCAGAGGAGTGGGGAATGCAACATTTGGCATTCAGAGAGCCTTCTGTGGGATATACACACACTGGTTTTTGGGTTTTTTCTGGTGGATATTCCATAGAAATCTCCAGAAGTTCCATTGGCAATAATGAGCCTTTTCTAGCACATAATCTGTGTCCACTGCACACTAAACACAAATTTCACCAGCAAAACTTTGCCTGCTGCAGCTGCATTCCAGGTGTGATTCTCCTGATCCATAACCCACAGAAATATTTATTTTAGTCCAGTTAGAGCTTTTGCACCCCATTACCCACACCAGCTTTGAGCACATTTATCACATATTTTATAGGATATATAACAATATATGTGGCATTACTTGTTTTAAAGTGGTGCAGGCATATTGATCCCTACATGTATCCTGATGGAAATTCTCTATATTCCCTTTTTCCCCCCTTTTCAGTGCTAATAATGTTACTGTAACAGTGACCAGCACATAAAATAAGTGTTCAGGGGCTGATTCTGGCCCTGTTTTATATTAGATATTCCTCCACAGAAGTCAAAGGCACGAGGTGAAGCCACTTTAGTGAGACCAAAGTCAAGCTTAAAGGGAAATATCTCCAACAGACTGAAACTAAACTGTGGATTCTCAGATTTTTAATCTTTTTTTTTTTAAGTTAAATAAGGACACAAGTATTCTCAGAAACTTGTGTTTGTTGAGTTAGAAAATGTAAAGCATTTCTAGAGATGTGAAAATGCCCAGGCATCAGCATTTTCAATTAAATGAGAAGCTGATGAGATCTGGTCATGGGATGCACTGACCTTAAAGTCTGTGGTCAAGCTGAACATGTGCTTTGTTTTCGGAGGGGCTGTGAAACTAAAACCATTATCAGTAAAAAAAAAATGGAATCTGGAGAAAAAAGGGTGAAATAGGCAGCTTGGGCTAAATGAGGTAAAACATATGATTTTAGGTTTTGACCCTTCCGTTTCTTACAAAAAAGAACCTGAAAGCACTTTTCAGAACAAAGCCACTGAAAGAAGAAGTATCAAATTATTACTATTATTTAACTGCTCGAATTATTCTAGATCTTAGGAGTTGTCTTCTTCCCTAATCTTTTTCATCCCCAAAAAAAAGCTAACACTAAGCACAACCCAAATTCATCAAAGAGTTCCTTACCTACCACTTCCTTTCCTCTTAGAAACTGAATATTGATAAATAAGCATTAACTTTCTCTCCATCTACACGCAGAAGTAAATCTAGGAAATTTTAATTAAGGTAGAAATAAAACAGCTCCAATCCTGCCAACTTTTATTTGTGCTGAGCATAGCCCCGAGGGGATTATGAAGGGGATCATGGTAAAAACCAGCTCCTGGTTGGTGGATGGGAGGAGTAAAACCTGCATGCCTCCGATTAAAAGGAAATAGAAAGTTTTAATTGCGTTTAGCCTCAGCTCCATCATGGTTTGGAGCAATCTGCCAAATCAAGGAGTGACTGCAGGGACTGTCCAGCACAGTTGGCAGGATCAGTGTCCAAAGGGTGTCAAACATCACCCAAAAAGATGCTGCTGAGATGATTTTTGTCAGGGGATGTGATCAGCAAACATCTCTACAAAGGGGGACCCCAACAATTTGCTTGAAAATTGCAATACAATGTTCCAGAATTTTGAAGGAATCTTGTTTTTTTTCACCCCTCTATGGCACAACTGACCACCCTGTCCTTTGTTTTATTTATCTTGTGAGTGGCCCATCATTTCAGGTGAGAAATGAGGAGAGAATTCGTTCTTTAGAAGAATCAGAAAATGACAAGGATCTTTGCCCCAATGTGGGTGTTACACACCAGTAATAGCATTTTGCTATTGTAAGGGATTCTCTAGAAGGGATTGTCTTTTGTCTTGTGCCTCAGCACTGAGATGTATCTTTACCACAAGAACTG